CCACCACCGCCAGCCCTCCTGCCGGGGGACACAGAGCTCAGGGCCACGGCGGGACGGGGATGAAAGATACATCAAATCCCACTCTCACCTGGAACGAATGGGGCTACAGGACCTCGGGATTGCTCCTCTGCTGTCCAAGCACTGGCTGTGGGGACAAGGTGAGCATGGAGACCCACAGTACCCAAGATCTGTATTGTTGCCACTTTCTTCTGTTCCTCTTTGCTGCATTTCTACTTTTCCATCTTAAAAATCAGTTTCCATATACCTTGCTTATTTCCTTTTTAATAAAATCCATGATTGTCATCTTTTCTTCCCAGTTTCCTTCTCCTTTCATAGCAGGATCTTGTAGCAGGGCAGATCTCTGACAGGATGCTGCAATCAAGCAGTACTTAGAAACAGAGCTCCACTTACCCCAGCAGCGCAGGCGATGGCAGCGGCAGCTCCCATCTGAGCCACCCAGCTTTACCACGAAGGATGTGGCGCTCCAGCTCCGGCACTCTCGGCAACTCTGGCAGCTGCAGGCTCTGAGCAAGGACCAGATCCTCTCTGGCTCATGCCCTTCTCACCCTGGCCCTGGCCCTGGCCTTTCAGCCCCCAGCACCACCCTAATTGGCTCAACCTGAGCCCCCTTCCCAATTCCCCCCACCTGGGGCCAGGCAGTTCCCTCCCTGCCCTCCTCCCCAGAGCTGTCCCACTCCCCGCTGGCTGCTCCTCACCCCCAGCCACCCCTTCACCCCCCGGTCCCGACCTCCCCTGTTGCGGAAGCCACACATCCCTCACCCCTGCGCCGGCTGGGGAAGGTCCTGCTCATCTCCTGTTCCCGATTTCTTGGGCGAAGCACAACCTGCCTCAGGGCTGCACGGCTTTAGGGTCTCCCAGCGATGTCCCTCCCGTCTGGCTTCACTCCGCCGAGCCCCTGCCCCTCACAGCAGCCCCGGTGGGTCCTTTCACAAAGCAGGGAGTGCAATTTGGGAGCATTTTCACTTCTTGCAAGTTTTCAGCTCCTTTTGCCATTGCTCAAGCCCCAGCACCCTTTAAAAAATAGTTACATCCAAACCCCGGGCCGAGAATTGCTCTGCTGGCAGTGCTGAACTGCCTCAAAGCACCTGAAATGCTCCCAACAAAAGGAGCGTGGAAATACCTAGCGACTGCAAAGGCAGAGCAGAGATCCCCGGGCTCCCTGCGAATCCCCAAGCATCCCACCCACGAGCATTCCTCACCCCCGCAGCAGCGCAGAGGCAAAGGGGCACAGCACGATCTGCCTTTGCAGTGCCAAAACCCTTGCCTGGTTTCCCCCCGAGAGCATAAAACGCACCCCTGCCATGAAGAGGGGCACACGCGGCTCTCCACCCTGTCCAGGCTCTGCACTGCGAGCTGTGCCTCCTGAGGGCAGCTCCTCGGTCTCCAAGGATGCTTTCCCCCCAAAATCCCACATGCATCCAGGGTTTCTGACCCAAAACTGTCACCGCAGCTACCCCAGCAGCTCATCAGAGCGAGTGCTTTAACTCAGCTCTGATATTCGAAGGAATCCTCGTCGGTTTGCCACTGTAACGCCTGTTTGGCGTCCGACCGACTCCTCAAAAGGACGCGAGCTGCCTTCTCCGTACGCTGGCACAGCCGCATCGCAAACGCTACCAGTGACAGCGGGAGGCTAAAAAATTCCTCGAGCAAGGTTTTTCTTGCTCTTCCCATTTCAGAGAAGCCTTTGGGAGATGCTGAAATGGCATTCACGAGACGGAACAGATGAGGGAATACAACGCAAAAGATTTTTCCTTTTTCGTTGCATTTTATTGAAAACAAGAAATATCAATTGCAAAAATCATTCCATTCCACTTAAGCACCAGACCTCGATTCAGTTAGTTATCCAGGCAGCAAAGGACACACACGTCGTGATCACCAAAAGACGATTCTTTGAGGCCGAGCGTGGCCCCGTCGCGGCAAGCGAGGTGCTCTCCTCCGCGAGCACAGAGGCTCCGGGCCGGCACGTACCCCGGCAACGGGGCTTGCTTCACCCATCCCTGCTCTGTCCCTAACGTTTCTCCTCAGCACAGCCCCAGTCTCCATCTTATCTCTATTTCACAGCAAGGACAGCATCCACAGATTACATTTCTCAAGACAAACATCTCGACAAGACAGACGTAAGCCACCGGGAGCATCGACGCCGAGTCACAGCGGGCGCAGATTTCATCCGGTTGCGGGGAGGCGACTCACACTTGGCGGGGACCTCAGAGCCCACACGTCATTTGCACTTGAAAAAGAATTTTTTACGGAGAAAGTTGAAACAGCCCGGCATCTGCTTGTACCTCCCCTTGGTGGAGACGGCGTTTCCCACCTGAGAACAGAAGGAGAGGGGTTGAGGAGCGGGACGCTTTTCCAACTGGCGCGTCGGGGTGTGATCTCACGCAGGAAGCACGGCAATAAGGACGGGGAACGGGACCGTGGGATGGGAGAGCAGGCACCAGCAAAAACAAAGGTGACTTGAGGGAACAAGAAACCCCGGCCGTACCAGCCACCACTGCCTGCGGCGGGTGCTTCTCGGCATGAGCCACAACTCCCTCTTTCCCACCAGGTGTTCACTTAAAAGCAAATTCCCTTTCCACCCGTTTTCTTCCAGACATGCCCGTTGTTTCCCCAAGGTCACTCTCCTTGCACTGAAGGCCAGCCAGCGGAGACAGGGTCTCGCGCTACTCTCTTGAAATCAATAGCTGCCGCGCCGCCGTGTGCTGAAGAAGCGCCAGGACGTCAGGAAAACGACAAAAAAAAAACCAAAAAAGTATGTCTCCTCTCTCCCGCCGCCTCCACAGGAGACTTTTCTCCTCCTCACGGAGAACAGTAAAAGTGTCTGGAAGCACCTACGCTTCTCCCACGCTTCGGCAATCTTCTCTAGTCAACACGGCACACAAGGGAAACCATTTATTAGCCACACCGGTTCCGCATTCCCAGCACGTTGCGCTCCTCGCTCACCAGGACATGTGAACGCAAACATCTGGCATCACCTCCCCGAGGGCGAGATGCTCCTCAAGACTTACCACGGTGTCACAGGAGCTCCAGAAGACACAAAACCCAAAGAGAGCGAGCGCCTGTGGAGATCTCCAGGCACGAGAGACCCAGCGGGTCTTCCTCAAGAGTGCAATCTGCCCAGACACATGGCGGCACGCTCACGATGGTGCCCCGAGTCCCGCCAGGGACTTCCCAGGATGGGACAAGCTAGGCAATATTTAGCAGCTTCCTTGGCAAAGATTAAAGCCTGTAGTTTCAGGATTACTTCTCGCTAGAGAGACCTCGAGGTGATTTTTGGCAGATGGAGGCCAGACGCTTCCTAATTAGACCTCTCCACAGTACCGCCAACGAGCCAATCCATAAACTGAATGCTCAATATCGTCATTCCTTTTTTAAGTGTAGGCCTCCATGCCCTGACTGCTTGCAGCTCTATTTCCTTCATCGTGACTACAAAAAGCAGGAAAAAAAAAGACATTTACCCGCAGTAACATGTTCAGCAGAATGGGCATATTGCTCCAGCACGCTGTCCAGCATCTCCACGTACCACGAGCCCCTCGACACCTCCCTCCAGGAGACAAAACCTTCAAAGAAAGAATGAGAACATCACTGCTAAAGCCAGTCTTACGTTCTCCTCTCCCCAAGTTACTGCCGCTCCCGGGGTGCCGTCTCTGACAGAGCCGGTTGCCCCTAACTGCCCCCGGCTTTGGCCACGAAGCTCCGACTTTTTTGCTACTTCCCCTGTACCCGGCGAAGGATTCGCACGGGCTGCCTCACCTGGGAAAGTTGAGTAGCAGACCAAGATGTCGCTGGGCGTGGGCAAACTGGCTACAGCGTCCGGCTCGTCCACGTTACCTGTCGGAGTCTGGAAAGGAGTCGCATCCGATTCTAAAGAACCTCCAGGAGCTTCGTCGCTGGGTGAATCGCAGTCCACTACAAAGCCTCGATCTTTTTGTTCTGCAACAAGCGGCAAGAAGACAATCCTCAAAAATTATCGTACCCAAGCATTCAACAGTTGTACACCCTTCATGAAGAAAAGATGGGGGAAAAAAAAAAATTAAAGGCCCTCCAAGGAAACAAAGCTTTTTGGCTCTTCAGCTGCGCTGGTTGAGTTGGAGCCATCAGGCGATTCACGTGAATGCCCTCAGTCCATGCTTCCCCACCAACCTCGTGGCTGAAGACCTGGAGCAGCTGGCCGGCGTGCGCTGCCTGGCCGTGCGCTGCCAATTCCTCCCCTCCTTCTGTCCCGTATCTCCCTACCGTGCAGTAAAACCGTGCCAGCCCAGGCAAATCGGCACTGCCCTCCTATGAGAGGCTCCTGTCCGAGCCCTCAGACTCGACCCATGCTAGCAGTAAGAACGTGTGGCCGAGAGTAAAAGAAGACAGCTGGAGAAGCAGGCGACAAACAAAAAGGGAACGAGAAGCTGAAGCCTAACCGCATCTCCGAAGCCTGCTTACACCCAACAGCTGATTCGCTTCGGGAGCTAAAACAAAGATTCACCTCCACCACAGGCCTGGATGAAGAACAGTTTGGGTTTTCCTCTCAAACTCGGGCAATTGGACCCATTGAAATAGTTCACAATCTTTTCTATTGGAATGGCTTTTCCATCCGTTCCGTAAATGCCTCCGGGAAACTGAATATGGCTCGTCTGCAAGAGGAAAATCCGGGAGCTAGTAATGCGGAAGGTGAGGCTGGTTCCGAGGGAGCCCGTTCCCGATCGGATGCTTTGCAGCCTAAAGTTACCAGAACAAATCTCGCTTCCTCACATTTGTGCAAATGCGTGCGCCGCGCCAGGGCGAGGGAACGCCCGGGAGTCGTTTGAAACACACTAAAACCCAGCACTCCGACTCCCCGTATTATCCAACTCCTGTCCCGCCTCCTCCAGCGACAGGGTTCATCCTCTGGGACAGCAGGCACACAATACACACTGTTTTCCTAACAACTGCTCTCCTCTCCTCCTCCTTCGAGGCCTTGCGATAAACAGGCTTTACGACTAATAGCATCTCCCCGGTCAGAGCTGGAGAAACAGGAAGGACTAAACGAGCACAGTGTGAGCGTTAGCGCTGCCTCCCTCCGCTCTCTGCCCACTATTCGGTTCTGAATTATACACCCCAACTTCCGACATGGAGAACACTGGCCCAGAGGCCACACCGGCCCAGGCTACACTGGAGAGAGCGTAACTGCAAAGTACCAGACCGTTTCCCTCCCACTCTGCGTGAGCCCGTAGCGCAGGGAATTAACCCCTTCCCCTGCGGGCAACCTGTCTAACGAGGAAAGGGAGAGGTGCCACCAACCCACCTGACAACCATGGGAAAGGATCACCACGACGCAGCAGTCCAAGGCCCCGTGGTCCTGCTGCGCCAGCTTCTGCAGCTCTGAAATCATGTCCTACATAGAAAACGTCACGGTAAGAGTTTTCCAAATGGTACCTCAGCCACAGATTACTGCCGGGCCCTGCTCTCATCAGTCTATCACAGCTGCACCGCTCAGAAGGATCCAGTCAATCTTTCTGCTGCAGGATAACACGCGCCCCACGTACAGGTGGCAAAACCCATCAGCAGACAGTGAGTATTTCTGCAGTTCTGCCCTTATTTAACATCGGCCACTTTAATTACAGAGATTTCTCTCCTCGCTGCGTTCTTTACAACGCAGCAACGTAAACCATAAACCTTCCAGGAGGTTTATCCACTGAAATGCGCTGCTGCTGATTAGGGGCCAGTGGGTGAGCAGAGAACCTCGGTTTACTTTTCAGCGGCCGCTCGGGATGACTGAGCTCCCCTCGCCGCTTCGAGTAACAGCTGAGGCCTGTACAGACAGGCAAATCACGCCGCTGGCTGCACGCAACGCAGAGGCTGTCAGAGCGAGCACAGAAACACAGCCTCTCCCAAAGTGCAGGCAGAAGGGTGAAAGCGTGCCAAGTCCTTTCTCCTTCTGCAATTGCAGCATGACAACAAAACAAGAGGATGTCGGGTTGATTATTTCTTTGTGCAGCGCAGGCTGGGGCTTTCGGCGTGCTGCCAACACGGGGTTACGTCCCGTAACGCGCTCCCATCGCTTCCGGGGGCTCGCCTCTCATCCCTCGCGTTAGCTGGACGTGGCCGGCCTCACCTGAGCTTTGAGATCCCGCCAAGTCAGGACGTTGAAGCCCAAGGCCTTGAAGCGCTTCTCCAGCTTCTCGCAGTCCACGTCGGAGCCGACTCGATGCGACAGATTTGAGTCTGTACTGAAGTTGACGTTGTTGAGGATCAGGCAGTGTCCACACGGATCCGCTTTCAGCTCGTAAACCTGGCAGGCACAGGTCGCAATTAAACACCCTCTTATTTGGAGCGCTCGCTGGCTAATCCAGCGGGATGCAACACCAATGAGGAACCAAAGTCCTTAAAGTAGCTCATTTCACAGCTTTTTCATTTCTCCAGGCCTAGGGACGCAGAAGCCTCTGTTCTCCACACGCACGTTGTTATCAGCAGTCAGGGAACACAATGCAACCTGCCAAATCGGGGACCGCCTTTGCGGAGAACCGGCTGCTTCTTTACCTGCAGTGTCTCCAATGGCAAGTTGAAGTTTCCACGAGTTTTTTTAGGCATTGCTGTCAAACCTCACCACGAGAGCCCGCACAAGGAGCCAAGAGAACAGGTAGATAAATCTCCTGGAGACTCAGCTTTACCGTCGATGACGGCACTGCAGGAATTTTACGAGAGCTACCCAAACACCTGCATCGATACAAGCCTCGCGCGCAGGCAGCCAAACTACACGCTCCGCGTCAGATACCCGCAGGCTGTCGGAAGGCAACTCCAGGCACACCCGCTGCCGTATTCACAACGCTCGCTTCCCTGCGCGTCTCCCGACGCGCCAAAGCGCGCCACACGCGTTCCTAATTGTTTTCCTGGCTTCTGTTCCTCAACGCTACAATTACGAAGTCTAAACACTGCTTCGCAGGCAACACACAAGCTGGTGCCTTAGGAAATTACCAATTGCCTTGCTGGAAACTGTTTAAGCACAGCCTGTAGCTCTACACGATGTTATTTGTGCTACAGCCAGGGCAGTCCTAAGGGGGAGCTGGCTAACGACTGACCTCCTCCGAGCTTATCAGCCCCATTAGACCGGCGTCAGCCACGGAGCGATTGCTCCAATAACAAGAAGCAAAGCCTGGCTGTCCCAGGGCTATTTCCCGGTAGCCACCCACAAGCCTTTGCTTCACAGGGAACACGTTTGGCCTAACCAAATACTAACCAGATCATGGGTCCTCTTGTCAACAGCCGAACCTACGACACACAACAGAGACACGGTATTTAGCTCTCTGCGCTCCACGATGAGATGTTATATCCGTTCCTTCTGGAATTAAGGTCAATCCCGCCCTGTTGCCTGCGGCACATCAGCCACACGTACGAATTCCCTCTTCCCACCCCGCCGCACGCTGCGAACGAACATTCGGCACCCCATCTCTCTGGGACGTGGCTTACCCTGGGCTGGCACGGGAGGCGTTCGAAGTCTTTCACTCTCCGCTTGGACTGGGATGGACAAACGTTCAGGAAAGTTCACGTCTGTAACGACAAGGGACAGTCACGTCTTACCTTCTCCCCTTTCTGATTTCATGCTACAAGTAACCAACCCAGGGTCCCCAGAGGGACCTGAACCCACAGCCACCTGTCGCAGCGACCCTGCTGTGAGGCTGAGATACAACATCGCGACCTTTTTCCCCTTTTCAGGGCTTGACAGACTAAAGTTTCTCCTTACGACTGCACGAGCTGTATCTGCATGCAGATTCAGCAGAGCGCAAGGTGGCAAGGACACGACAAAATCACTTTTCACCGATGTACCACGGAGGCTGCATGCAAAAACACAGAGAACAAAGCTCCTAACACCATGGGCACACAGCTGGAGCTTAAAAGCGTCTGCTACTGGAAAGCCTGACATTCTTCCAACAGCTCTGCGGAGTCACGTCTACAAGCCATGCTCCAGGATAATAAAAACCAGAACTTCACAGACTATGACCCACACCGAGAGGGATCCCAGCTGCCACTCCCCACACTGCTGTTTGCCCAGAAAATAATCATGCCATTAACACTTGCTTTTATTGTGCTTTTCTCCACGTAAGTCCAGCTCAACGGGCCTCAGGTCTACCAGCTGCAGCGGCGCCGGCAGGCTTTCGCACTCCTCGATCAGCATGTCCGCAAGGTCGCCCTGCCCGGTGTCCCGCAGGATCGAGAGGAATATAGGAAAAGCCTGTCTTCCTCGTGTCTCCAGGTCGATGACCAGTTGCCGGGCTTGCTCTCCTCGGCTGCCGGCACTCTGCAGAGGAGGAAAGCCCAGGACAATGCATGTTCACTTCGAGCCGAGGCGCTCTGCCCAGCCAGCCCTTCCAACCGGCACCCAGAGAGGGGAAACGCGGGGATCTGCACCGAGCACCTTTACGCAGGGTGAATGAGACCAAGACCCAGCGGACACAGTCACAGAGATCCCCAGCAGCCACCCAAAACCCAGCCCAGACCCCCCTCCAGCCACAAAGCCCTGCTGCTGCCGCTGAGACAGGCAGCTGCAGCCCACCGCAGGGCTTGGAGAGAGAGGGAGGAGGGAGCACCCCCAGCCTGGCCCCAGGGGACAAACAGGCATTCCCCAACTTGTCACCGGTGCGTGGGACAAGGTAAAACACCCCCAGGGCTGTCACCAGTAACAGAGAGCGGAAACGGGGGCTGCTTAAGCCTCTCACCAGGTTGGGATGGGGCCGCAAGGAGAAACCCCTGTACCTGGCACCAGCTGGGGCAGGGGACAAGAAGGGACAAGGAGATGGGGGTGGAGCTTGGGGTGGGAAGGGACAAGGGCAACCCTCCAGGCCTGTCACCAGAATGAGGGGACACGGGGTCCTCCCTTGGGCCTCTCACTGGGCTCAGGGGACACAGGGGCCTCCCTTGGGGCTGTCACTGGGCTCAGGGGAGGACACAGGGGCCTCCCGTGGGGCTGTCACTGGGCTCAGGGGACACAGGGGCCTCCCTTGGGGCTGCCACTGGCCTGAGGGGACACGGGAGCTTCCGTCGGGCCTGAGTGAACACGGGGGCCACCCCCCAGCCCTGTCACCGTGGCTGAGGGGACACAGGGCCCTTCCTCGGGCCCGTCCCCGGGACTGAGGCGGGGACAGAGGGGCCGCCCCCCGGGGCTGTCCCCAGTCCTGAGGGGGGGGACACCCCATCCCACCTGCAGCTCCTCCACCATGGGCCGGGTGAAGAGGCCTCGCTCCT